GCAATGTGTAATTAACTTATGACATTCACTGCCACAGGTGTGTATGTTTATGAAATTTATTTATATACCACCCTCTCATAAAATATAAGGACAGAGTATAGCAATATAAAAAACACAAACAGTCATTAAAAACAGTACTGAACCATAATTAAAATGACGGACAACTCAAGAAAAATGTAAGCAATTCTATAGTCCTGTCAGCATTAAGAGTAAAAAAAAAAGAAAGCATGCCAAATCTCCACTGGAAGAGTGTTCCACAGCATGATGCTGGCGACACTAAATGTCTGACTTCTAGTTGAGGCTAGTCAGGCCTCTGTAACATGGGAATACAAATACCAGTGTTCATCTGGATTATCTTGGTGATTTGGCTGGGCTATAAGGACCCAGGAGAACCTCTAAGCTATGCTGATGGTTTTGGGTTTGGATTGCTTTAAAGGGGGATTAGTTAAAAGAATAGTCATTTCTATTTGGCTGATCGCTGAAGAATTGATGCTTTAGAATTATGGTGCTGGAGGAGACTCTTGAGAGTCCCATGGACTGCAAGAAGATCAAACGTATCCATTCTGAAGGAAATCAGCCCTGAGTGCTCACTGGAAGGACAGATGCTGAAGCTGGGGCTCCAATACTTTGGCCACCTCATGAGAAGAGAAGACTCCCTGGAAAAGACCCTGATGTTGGGAAAGATGGAGGGCACAAGGAGAAGGGGATGACAGAGGATGAGATGGTTGGATAGTGTTCTCGAAGCTACCAGCATGAGTTTGACCAAACTGCAGGAGGCAGTGGAAGACAGGAGTGCCTGGCGTGTTCTGGTCCATGGGGTCATGAAGAGTCGGACACGACTACACGACTGAACAACAACAACAACATTCTCCATTAATCTGTGAGCAGCTATTACCCACAATAATAAATTGAACTTCCAGGTTCAGAAGCAGTATACCTCTGAATGCCAAATCCTGAGGGCAAACACCTTACTTGTTAATTGTTAAGTGCATCTGCCTCAGCACCAAAATAGAGATGGACATCAGCCTGATCCATTTTCTCTCTTTTATTTCCACCTTGGCCTTGGGAGAGGTAAAGTTTCCAAACACCTGGCTATGGTCATTCTCTCTCTTTACACAAATCGACATTTCTGAAGAAGAATGTTGAAACAAAGAATGTGCAGAAAGCCACTATAAAAAAGGAGAAATGCAGAATGAAGAGAGAATAAGCATTGTTTGCCACTTTCACAGTTCTACAAAAAGCGGAGCTGTTAGATCGGTGATCTCACCTCATAGTGGGGAAGAGAACGTCATGTGCAAATCATCTGTGAACTAAGCTGAGTTTTGGTAATTTGCTGCCAGCATGGCATGTTGCTTTGGGGTCTGAGGAGGCGTAAAGGGAATAATTCCTTATCACAATAATCTATAAATTGACTCAGCACAGTCACGGCAATCAATCAGAAGCATGCTTTTCATTTACACTTCACAGGCATTAGTGCCGGCCCTATAAAAATGTGAATGTAAACTTTTGCCATTTTAATCACTTTTCTATCACGATGCTATAATCAAGTCCTAAAAAACCAATCAGAGTGCTCCTGCAATAAGGTTCTGCAATTGTGATCTCTCCCCCCGACTCCCACCACACAAAACTGGCATTCAAAACAACCTCGAACTGAGGAAAAACACTGATTGTGAGGAAGAAAGCTTTTATTTGCACACAAATGTCTTGGCAATCAAAGAGGTAGGAGGTACGGAAAAATAAATCACTGTACGGTAAAATTAGTTTGATGTGAAATTTCAGCTTGTTGCAGTTCTGGTAATATATATTCTGGTAATATATATTCTGCTACTATTACATCAAGCTGTAATTTACTTCCTTTTTCATTTCCTTCATCTTGCCACTACAGTGTAAGTATAAATGGGAATGCAAGCACAATATTATGTTTATGTTCTTTCTTCTGAGACTACCAGCTTCTTAAAAAGGTCCCTGTAGTAACCTACAACATTTAGAACTGGGGTAATTATTTATATTTACAACTTGCTCTATACTTGAAGGATCAAAGCAGATAAGATCATTTCCAAGGGAAAAATATAAAAATGGAAATATGCAGCTAAATTACCTGATATCCACAACCGTTAATATACAGACATCATAATGATCAGGTATCCAATTCCCTTATTTTAAAAGAAATTGTGAAGTGAATGTAACAACTGGGGCAACCTTATCCTATGTAGATCCAGGTAATCTTCTAATCTGTACATGTCTTGTAGTAGTAATATACCCTATTCCTTTTTCTGCCAATACCCCCCCCCCCTTGCATATCATAGTCAGAGCTACCATGTAGTAATTCTAGCATAAGAAAATGGGCAATACTTGTATGCAGGGGTTATTTGAAAAGTCTGAAACTAGGACGTGATCACATCAAGCAAATTATCCCAATGTGGTGTCTCTGAAATTATTATGAGCCAAGAGCAAACTCTTTTAAAGGTCAGGCTCGGCTTATAAAAGGTCTGGTCATCTGTGATCCATACCTCACATTGCCCCTTTCCTTACTTCTAAGTAAAATTCCGTAAGCCTGGATCCGAAGGTGTCCTCTTGCAGGCAAAAGGGACTTTCTGTTCACATCATGGCTGCAATACACATTGTGCTAGAAAAGTGAAACTAAATCAAAATATGTACTCTGGTCCTTCCCAGCACTTGCATGTGGTCTTCAGAAGGTGTCGCAGAGGGAAATGCAGCCCTTGGGCTGAAAAATGTTCCCCACCTCTGCACTAGAATCAGGGCTGGCCCACCCATGAGGCAGACTGAGACAGCTACCTTGGGTGGCAGAATCCCAAGGGTTGGCAGCTCTGTAGGCGCCCCACCTCTGCCACCACTGGAGAATAATCAGTGGTGGCGGCAGCAACTTCTGGAGAGTTCTCACAAGATTTCACCACTGTCACCACTTCTCTTTACTTCTCCGGAGCTGATCCCAATAAGCAGGGCTTTGGCAGGGAGGGGCAAGGATGGCACCTTTCCATTTCACCTCAGGTGGTGAAACGGGACGGACCGCTCATTACTAGAACACGGATGGATAAGAACTGCTATAGATCTATTAAAGGTTTGCATATGGATCTGTTAAAGGAACTGCTATTAAAGGTTTGCATGAACTCTTTTACAGGGATTTGCGATACAGTGCTGGTGATTATTTTCATTCCACTCACAGTTCTTTGGATCTAGCCAGCAAGGTCTACCATCTACTCTGGTGATTCAGTAACTGTATACAGCAGAACAGAAATATTTCTCAATGTTAGAATAAATTACTACTGTACCTTGTAGCTGATCAATTTAAAACATTCTTTGTCACAAGGTGGAGTTCAACGACAGTAGCACTTAGACATCGATTCATTTGCACATAAGCACTGGGTTGCATTGACAAACAACACATTTTTAATGCTGGAGCTCCAGCCACCATCTTTCTCGGTGGTAAAGGGGTGTCCTCACACACAGCTGTGCATGGCAATATGTTAGGTAGAGTGGCCAAGCCTACATAGTCAGCCAAGCATCCATACGTAGACTGCTCCTGCCTGCTCCTTCTTTCTGTCATTGCACTTGCCCACCCGCCCTTTTTCCATACTGCGACTAAGGTGCTGCTTTGAGGGAAAACAGGAAAAGTTGGCCAACTGGCTATCTAGTCATTCAGGCTAGGTTTTCCACCTACTTCTTACCATGTTAGGTGATACAGCAGTTGTTAAATAGCTTAACTGGTTTAATTGGTCACTTTGGCATGAAGGTGTGGAAATGGAAACAGTGGGTCAGCTTGGTGACCTCTTAGGCACCTTTTCCGGGGGGGGGGGGGGCAAGTCCTGAGGCCTGCAGGCCAGGGTTTCAGGGCCTGAAAGCAGGATATGATCTGCCTTTGGGTCCAATATACCTCATCCGCCTAGTGTTTTGGAAGCCTGGATGGTGGTGATGTGGGAAGGCCTTCCTCCTCACCTTCATAGTGAGTGTGGGGCTTTATTTATCCTGGCATGGGTTGGCCACCATAGAGCAGTTAGCACTTGCCTTGTATTTATTAGTTCCCACACCAACACTTCTCTTTAGTATGTTTTAATGTCATAATATAAAAAGTACGTTAGTCCTTAGTTCATCCCAACTGCATGTTTCTGTGTATTTATTCCAACCCTTGGCCAGAATCGCAACTTTCTTTTTGATATGGCCAATTTAGCATGACTTATTTTTAATCAATTCAATGTGGTGAATATTTTTTCATGCCTAGAAGGGAACCTGTTAGCTTTCGAGGCTTTTCTCTTAAATTTTAAATGCAAGATGTCACGAATGGGGGCAATTCTCCGACTCTCAAACCACTAGAGATACGCTTTAATCAGCTGGGTAAAGTATTGGATTGGCAGTCTGTAAATCGGTTATTGAATCCTACTGAAGCCTGAGGCAAATCACAAACAGTAGATCAATTTTCCTTAGTGTGAAAGAGCCCAGATGAGCAATTCAGCCGTATATCCTTGCTGCACCTCATCAGAAATTAACACGAAGCTTGAGCAGAACACTTAATGTGTTGACAAAATGTACAGTTTATGCCACAAAAAGTTTTGTTTAAATTAAGGTCAAAAAGAAAGAAAAAAATCCACATAAAGTTGTTTTGAGTCTAGCAGTGTGCTGAAATCCCCTTACCAATTTGAGGAAATTCTTCTTTTCTTGCTTCCCTGTCGTAGCCTCTTTTCCAAGGGGTGGGGGATGTAAAAAAATATTTACCTGTGTTTTTCCTCTTTTTATTAAATACTTGGGTTGTATAAAATAAACCATCTTTATGCTGATGCTCCTGTGCTAAGCAGCTAGGGATGGATGAACCCATTATGGTAAGGTTATTCCCTGTTCCCTTTTCTGTATCAGGATAGGACTACGTCCATCCAATGCATGTCCATTCCTTGAAAATCCACACAGAAATACAAATGTGGAACAACAGATACAGCATTGGCATCCTCAGACCATCTTGCAATCAGCAGGACTGCGTATTTCAAAGCAGCCTAAAACAGACACATGATCTGACCCAAGTCATGATCCAAGTCAGGAAACATGAAGAGTAACAAAATGTAGAAATCCACTTTACTTTGCCCCGCTTGACTTTGAATGGCTAACCTGTAATGGCTAATGGCTAAACATGTAACTTTTTGTGTAAACCTGTAAATCTGTTCCTTACCTGCAGCATATTTATTGCACTGGCATCTGTAAGTATTTGAAGAAACCCTGTGGCAACTGCCACTGTAGCAACTATGTGGCTGGCACTCACCAATGATTTCCGAACAGTTCTTTCCTTATGAAAACAAAGAGGGGGGAAAGAGAAATGAATAGAAGACTCGCCTTCCCCAAAAAGATGCTTCGTCCAGAGAATAATTAGTAATCCTTCAACTAAACATTATCAAAAGCAGCACGGTTTCTGAGCCCTCCATGGTTGTTTCCACACTGTTCTTCCCATATGTAAATTAAGTGTATCCTGATCATCACTGCTTAACGGCATGTTTATGCCATCTCCTAAATCAAATCTCGAGGTGGTGTAGAACAATATTACAATACATATCAAAGTATTAAAATACAGAAAGAATGGGAATACTAAGGCAGAGTTAACATCATAATGTCCTGAGATCAAGTACCAGCAAAGGCCTGGGAGAACGAATTGCCTAAACATCAATAATGTGAGTGCTTGCTTAAACACATGGGGAAGATGATTCCATTGTGTGGGTGCCTCAGCATAAAAGTCCTTTCCTCCAGTGGCTGCTAACCATACTGCCATAAGCTGTGGCATCACCAGGATTGCCTCAACAGTTGATTGTAATGGTTGTGCAGGACAGTAAGGAGAAAGGTGTTTCTTCAGGTATCCTGATCTCAAGTTGTTGGCACGCCATACCAATTATGCACCTCCAAAAAGAAGCAGGCTTCATCATTGTACTTGATCTGCCCTAACCATCTTGCATTAGAGGTAGATGCTATCAGAACACTGTGGGACTGGCCATGGAAAAGAAGTTGCAGCCATGCCACTGCTCCAGAAAAGATACAAATAATCAAATCCAAATAAACCTGAAGAAAGGTCTTGTAGCGAAACACCACACATAAAATCGAACTTTCTGTTACCCCATGCTTGGAAGTGATCGATAGGAAATGGTTTCCACTACCATTATGCCATGTTTGTGAACATCTCATAGGCATATAGGATACTTCCAAAGACTACTTTTGGAAACAGAAAGCGGGTAGATTCTGGAAGTCAGTTCTTATAGCAAACAGTTCAAGCCTAAACATGTCTACTCAGACTCAAGCGTCACTAAATTCAATAGGGCAATCCCAAGTCAGCATGCTTGTTAGGAGTAGCTAACATGGTGCCTTCCATATGTTGATGGAATCTAACTCTTGTCAGTCCCAGATAGCATGACCAAGGGTCCACTAACATTCAGTGGGCCATAGGTTCCTCATCGCTGTTTACAAGATGCTTATAAGGTAAATGCTCTAAATTTAGCAGGAAACAACCTTCAAATATTTAAATATAAGACACCTTCTAATATTTATTTTTCAGCATGATTTAACAGCTGACTGGAAATGCAGACAGTTTTAGGATGAATTCTGCTTAAACATGCTGCTTACTGGAAATTACCGGTCATAAATTGCTTGTGCTTTTACAGCATATGGGACTAAATACCGTATAATTATGCTTGTCATTTGAATTGTTGCTATACTGTTATTCACACTTGAGCAATTATTGCTTTTTTTGAAAAACAAAAAAATTAAACTATGAGAACCATTGTTCTCTTGCTCACACCTGTGAGCTACAACCCAAAATCAAATGTTTTAATCTCACTGCCTTCTTTTCTTCCCACGAAGGTTGTTCAGGTTTTGCCTATAATGCTACTACAGTCTATTAAATAGCTCTCATTGTGCCTGACTCAGCTGGTTCCTAAAATTTTCAGTACTGCTCTTACTGAAGTGATTGAGAATCCTTCTTTGGGCTTTTAAATGAAGCTGGGTCAAGCTCAATTTTTAGACTGAGTTCATTTGGAACAGGCACTGAAAGAATCCATACTGTGCCTGCCTACATGTTTTCAATTCATTCTAAAAGAAATCCTGCGTCACTTTTCTGAGGAGATTTGGTTCTAATTATACTACAATTATTTATAAAGGATGCTTTCTTATCCTCAAGATAGCAACTAAAATTATTTCCACCTTTGAGTGTTTGGGATTAGTGACAGGAGAAATTATCTCGGGTTCTTTTTGTTGTTGCTGCTGTTAATAATCTTCATGTAGATTTCAGGACACTTTCATATGTTACCATGAAGATATCTTACTTATTTTTACAATTTAGAATGGTCCAGAAGTAAAGACCAAACCATGGTTGGAGCCTTGTGCTCATGAATGTGCTCATAAATGGTCAAAGCATGGTCTGGCATTGTACTTGAACAAGCTCATTGTGTCTACATTCCTCTTATTTTGTTTATTTTTGCTAAAAGTAGCCACTCACACCCATGGTGTATCACATTTCTATTGTTCATTAATCCATTGCTATAGTATATTTTAATACATTCTTTTTATTGTTTATTTCCAAAACAACTACGCTTCTCACATAGTTTGATTTTATGTGTATGATAGTTGATAGATGATAGATTAGATAGATGATAGATGATAGATAGATAGATAGATAGATAGATAGATAGATGGATGGATGATAGATGAAGCATAGATTGCAAAGTGGATTGGAAACATACCATGAGGGAAGGGGTTCTTAACCCTTTGTGCCCACTTGAGTCTTGGTCAGAATTCTCCCACCCCCATGGTTGTTGTTCACAATGAAAGGAAGTCTCTCTTTGTTCTATGGGAGGTTTTTTTCTATTCTAAAGAGCCGGAGGGGAATTCTGATTAGGACAATGACAAGAACAAAAAGTTAGAGCCCTCTTCCCTTGCACCAGGATCTCAATTTATGTGAGCTATTTAAAAAGAAAAAAAAGAAATATTTCATGCAAGACCAAGTCACATGACAAATATCATGTCTTGTTAAGTCCTGAAACACATTAGTTCTTACCTGCAAACATTGGGGGGCATATACATTCATAGGACTCTGCATCAAGTTCTCCTTTCACTCCCTTTCTAATGCAGGAGGCGTTGTTGTAGCAGGGCTTACTGGAGCACACATCAAATTCTTGGCAGAATTGTCCCGAATACAGCTGGTTACAGTGGCAATTGTAGGCTTCCTCCCAGATGTGACTTAAACATATGCCCCGTCCAGAGCAAAAGGGTGCACTTCGAGACTGCTGGCAAAGATGTGGTTTCACTGTCACATTCAGCCTCAGCCCTAAATTACATAACGGTGGTCCTCGGCTTGGGACTTCAGTGAAATAATGCGTTCCAACTCCAAGCCATTGCGGGTCGATCTGATGCATCCCACTTAACCTGCAACCAAAAATCATCTGCAGCTGAGGGATATCAGTTTGTTGAGGACACCTGATGAATTCCTCCAAGGAAACATTTGCCAAGTTCATGCCATGTGACTGAAAAGACGGCTCAGAGGAAACAAATAGTGCATCTCCCAACTGAAGCTGTAGAGGACAAAGCTGGGGATGACTCAAAGCTGAATGTTCTACAGCATTCACATCGGTATTCCAGCAATCTGCGTAGAAGTTGGAACAGATGTTTTGGGTCAGGGACCACTTCACAATATGTACTGTCGGCTGCAGTTTCCATTCCGAAGTTGAAGACCTTTTGCAGGCAGTCTGCCCATCAACAATGCAACCTTGAAAGACATGAACCATCACAACAATGATTGACTTTAGTTTCATTGTTCATTAGGAGAAAAGATGGGCACACCTCATTACAACTGTGCTTCTTGAAGACAGGAGTGATCCTTTCAAATGCTGCACGGTTGGAGCCCTTTCATTTATGTTCCACTATCATCTGTGAAATGATAAAGATATGCATGCATGAACAATGTGATATCTTTGGGTAAAATATTGGCACTGAGACTACAGTGCTAAGATCAAACATCATCATCAACAAAGCAGGGAAGAGTATGCCCAGTTGTTCAGACTCCCTTCCACCTGCACAGCTATTATATACAACAAAATATAAGCATCAGCAAGAAAACTCGGACAGCAACAGAAACATCCAGTGGCAACCAAGCTAAAGCAGTCTCAAAAGCTCCTCTGAAATGCCATGCTTCCATTTCCCTGTAGAAGACAAGAAGAAATGCAATGAGAATGCCTTCAACTGTGCTCTCCACTTGCCTCTATTGAAGATGAGACATGGCGCAAGGCTTTCCCCAATAATTACAGTTTGAATGCATGCAGTCCACTCTAGCCCCAAATAGTTTAGGCCATTTAAAGGTTAAAGCCACAATTTTCAATTGGAGAGATAGTATAATATTGGTGTTTTTCAAATTTCAGTGGCACCCTTGTGCAAGGCCAAATTTGGGCACCCCCCCACCTCTCACCTTCCATTCAACTCAATTCACTACATCATAGCTGCAACGCCCTGCAGCACCTCCTAGGCTCAGTGTGACAGAACTGGTTGCTTTGCCCTAAACCCACCTCTGCATGTGATCATTAATGAAGGCTCCCACAAGCAACCTAGTAAATGAATTCTGTACCAACTGATGGTTCAAGAGGCAACTTCAAAGGCAGTCCCACACAGAGCATCTAAACATGATTTAAGCTGAGTGTAACCAAGATGTGTGCAAGTTGTAGTAAGACCTGCCTTCTAAATGAAAAATAATCCATATAAGGCAGTTTTCTAGTCTCAGAATGTCAAGATCTTCTCTGTCTCTAGATAGGAAGAAATGATGGAGTTGGATATCAAATGTGTATTGGTGAAACCAGACACCAAATCTGTTGGCCTCAGAGATAAACATACCCACCTAGTATGTTGTCAGAACTAGCCCAAACAAACAACAAACAAACAAACCACAATGCATCTTCATTTTCATGGATGGGCTAATCAATTTACTTCTTGGCTAGATTATGTTCATGTGTCTATGCATTTATTTATTTTAAAGCTGCACAGAATGTGCCGTTAAACATTTCCTTTCTCTCAATATACTTATTTCTAATTGCATATACTGTTAACGTATGCATTTCCAGATGTGTCTTTTTTCAAATACTTTTTTTGGTAGTCTGTTCCTTGAGTCAAGAACTGGATCAGAACATTTGGGAGAGGCAAGTGCTGGTGCATAATGAAATCCCAATCTACGCATAAATCTGTGAGGTGTGAATAAATCAGTTCATATCACAATCTGCAAACACTTAATTCCTCAAGCATCTCTGGTGTTTCCAAGCTTCCTTGTGCTTTACTGCCTTTGTAAAGGCTATTGATAACAGCATGTTTGGAAACACACACTGGTAGCCGACACAGATGGATACTGATTATGACAAAGGACAACTATATTCAAGAAAGCATCATGGGCTGGATCTCTTCAAACAGGGAGTTTCTTGGTAGGAAATCATATTTATGATCAGAGGAAAGAACAGATGAATAATTGCTGTTTACTGTTCCCTGAGACTTAGTCACTTGTGCCAACCTATTCAGCGCAGAATTCTTGAGTCTATATTTAATTGTAAACACACTTGGAAGAACCATATATGCATGCCGTTCAAATAATGTGGGCATTAAAAAATACACAGGGATTCTCAACGTAAATGGGAATCCCAGGAAAAAAAGGCTATTTACATTAATTGCTTATCACACACTATCCTGAGTTGCCTACACGGGACCCAGAAACTTCCATGTGCAGTTCTTATAACCAACTGCTGGGTCTGCTGCTGGGCTGGCACTGTGGTGACTGCTTCTGAGCAATTTCTATGATAATATATTTTCCTCTGTGGTCCAAATGTTATCACTTGTTTTGCTGATTTCATTATTCCATTCAGAAACACATTATATTATTAAACAATACTTAGCAATGCACATTAGATTTGCCTTCTGCTGCTTCTGTTGCCTTTGCTTTCAAGCTGGAACATCTAAGAATTCCAGGACAGTGCTTGCCGTACTCAATGCAAATACACTGTGATTTCGGAATAAGATATTGCTCCTTTCATATGCCTAAGAAAAAGGATCTGCATCTGTATTTCCCCACCTATCACCTACATTACAGGAGTACAAAGAACAGCTTTTCGTTGTAAGTTTGAATTTGGGGCACTAGACATCAGGCAGCCACATTTTTTGTCTGTCAAGACAGGAACTGTAACAGAATAATATAGTAACTTCCTTTCAGTGAATATTTCACTTATTTTGTCTGGGGAAAAGGCTGGGTTGATCATGAGCCAAAGAACTCTTTGAAAGCACTGATTCCCGCTATGTAGAAGCTGGATGTGATGCAAATTTAAGCATGGTGACTTGCAAACATGAACATAATATGCAAATCATGGGTCACATTGCTTTGAAATCTGGATGTGGCAACTGCATGTAGTTTTACCTGAAAAATATACCCACCACAGAGAATTCAGCCAAATCCCCAAGTTCCCATCAGGCAGCTGACCTGAAATCTGCTATAGCTTATATCAGCCTGTTAGGTTGGTAGCAAGTCAACATGCTGTAAAATGACAATCTAGAAGTTCTTTAAGCCTTTGCTGATAAGTTAAATTCATTTAATGTGACTCTTAGTCTTGTGTTTTTGAAGGGAAACTAGTTTTAATGATGGGCTACTCTTGTTTTTATATAAAAAACTTTTGGGTTTGTTTCTTAAACTTTCCCCCTCCCCCAGCTCCAGGTTTGGGCAGCAAGCTCACTGCATTTATAGGCTGCATAATCACAAAAATCCAAAAGGTATGCATTATATATCCCACTTAAAGATGTTATACCTCAGGCTTAGAAATGCTTACAGAAACTTATTTTTGCCTGAACATGAATAAATGCACAAAATTGCTTTAAACAAGGTGATCTACAGAAGCTACAAGAGTCCATTCATGGAGGAAGGGCGGGCGGGGGCTGTATTACATAATTGTATAAGAACCAGATAAATTTTGCATGGCACTGACTGCAGATCCATATATGACAGTCATGTAAACAGCCAACCAAGATTCACCTTGTATCTGTATCTGTGACATGTTTGGTTTTTTAAAAAATAAACCCTATCTTCTTCTGAGTTGTTCTCTGGTCACTCTGCTTCTGTCTGCATTTCAGATTCCAAGCTTCTCCATATAAAGTTCTGTGTTTCATTTACTATGATGAAGCAAATTAAGAATCTAAAACTATAACTTTGCCTCCTTTTTGGCCAAATTGGGTTGAATTTACAGGCCCAGAAGTCCCTCCAGAGTGAATTAAACTTATCAGATTGCCGATAAACAGGTTTCAGGGGCCTTTTATTTTCATGGGGAAAGTAAAAGGGATTCATTTCCCCCCATAATGAGGGATAGGAGTGGAGAGTTGCCTCTTGTTCTTTAAGTAATGATGAAGGCCTGCTCCCAGGTTGCCCATCGTGGTAGACCCTTACAGCTACTGGGTCTGGACTTTACTTAAATACTGGCTACTCCCACCTACAGATTTGCAGGGAGCCGTAGGACTCCCTCCCTCCCTCCCCTCCCTCCCTCTCTCTTTTTAAAAAAAATAGATGTATGTTGTGATTTTCAACTAAAGTTCTCAAAGTGGCAAATGACATTTATGCAACACAACAAATGCACCAATAATCACATTCTCACAAAACAAAACATCCATCACCGGTGGAGCAAGAACCAGAATTTGATGTATGCTACTTGATCATGATATACCACTGAGGCCTTTCCATACCAGGTCAGATATATTTGCTTTCGAAACCACTCAGACCAGAGCATGGATCATTAAATGCAACATATATTTAATTAATTATTAAACAATTGGAATATATATATCAGAGTTTCAATACTTTATCCAAATGCGGCCAAATGTGTCCCCAGCTGATTTCCTAACTCCTTTTATTATATACTGATATATATCTCTCAACTTATATTCTTTCTTTTGCCATTTTTCTGACACTTTCTACTAGTCATTCCCTCTGCCCAGAAATCAGTTTTCCCCATTGTTATTTCAGTTTCCCCCACTGTCAATCATTATTCCTTGTGATCTTCTTTGACAACCCCTTTCAACTCATTGGACTTGTTGGATACAGATGGAGGAATTGTTTCTGGAATGAATTAAGGACTTGGCTTCACTACCTTACCTCCCTTACTTTATGTCACTAGCAAAGGGTGCAGAAGATGCTACTGGATTATGATTTCTATGGCACCAAGATATTAAAACTCTTTAGATGTATGAATTTATCATGCCAATGGCCCCATGAAATGATCAGGATCAGTATGAATATACATCAATTTCAATGGTGAATTATATTCTTTAAGACAGTGTTTCCCAACCACTGTTCCGCGGCACACTAGTGTGCCGCGAGATGTTGCCTGGTGTGCCGTGGGGAAAATTCGAAAGATTTTTTTTTTTTTGTAAAAGTCAAATTAGGTCCTAATCTATCCCTCGAGCGCCTCTTGTCCGTTATTGTGACGCATGAAGCGTGTTCCCGCCCACTCCCCGCCCTCCCTTGCTTCTCTCTCTCTGTGGCGTTCTCCGCCGCTTCCTGCTGGGCATGCGCAGCTCGCCTCGCGCTTCCATTCCGGCCCCTCCTTCCCCCGACTACCCCGCCGCTCCGTTCCTTTCTCTTTCTCGCGTGTCAGAGAGCGGCGGCGCGAGCGCGGCGGTTCCCTCAGGGCTGACGGAGGGCTCGAGGAGGAGGAGGCAGGACGTGGAGGCGGAGAAAGCGGCGGCGGCCACCCCCCACCTCCGGCTCGAGGCCCGCGTAGAAAGCTGAGGGGGAGAGATAGATAGAGGTGGGCGGCGGCG